GACCTTTTCCCTTTAAGGGCCCCCGGGGGGCCCCCCCGCCGTGATCCTGACACCTGACCGTCGGGGCCACAGCGCCCGTGCGAAAAAGCCTCCATGCAGCTTCCGACGCACGAGACTCGAGCGCACAGCTGAGCTACTGGGTACCACGCAGTCAGCCACAGTGCAGTTTGCGAGGCAGAGCATGCAGATTAAGCAGCTCACCTCACCTGAGAAAAGGAGAGAGCTTCTGGTCCCTCTCTGGTCCTGGCTGTGTTATTTCGCCTGCTAAACTCGCGCCAGCGCGATTGCTCATCACACGCTCTGTGAGTCACTTAAAGTTGCAGGAAAAAACAGCAGCAAACGAGAAAAGAGTTGAATCGTTTCCTGCTATTTGAAATTTATTAAAACAGCTCTTGGAAGGGCCTAATACTAGGCCAGAGTTATTACTGGGCAGGGGAGAGAAGTGGTGACTGCCCAGCCAAGGGCAGGAGCCGTTGGAGTAAGGGCGGCTGCCTCTCTGCTCCCTCAACAGCCTGCCCTTGCTGGGCGCTCGAGCCCCCCGTCTGACAGAAGATGAAGCCATCAATCAGTGGATTAATACCGTGGCAATAGCCTGGCATGCACCTGGTATCGAAGGGAGAGAAAAAGCGCATGGTAGATGAACAGTCTAAATTGGAAGGCTGCTATTTGTTATAGCAGGAAGCGTGCTCACCGCAAAAAAAAGACTGGATTCAAACAAAGTTAACAAGTACAATGCATTGAAGCTACTGTCCGTTGCAGATTTAGATTTTACAGAATAAAGGAATTCTCTGGAAGGCTCCACAAACACCCACTGTCTTTTAGGTTGCAGCCGTTCCTCTTGCCCTCAGAGCTGAAAAGCAGGAAGGAAGCATGGGAAAGCGAATGGAAATCCAGGAGCCCAGACTTCAGCCTCACTACTTGCTCAGTACAGAGAGGGCTAGTTCCCAAAGCCAGCCGTTCACTGTGGTGACTTTAATACACATCAGTAGCATTTTAGATGGATCCCAAGATTCTGAACTTGAGACAGGAAAAAAAATAAGAAACCCGGTAGAGTTAGGAGATTTTCAGACCTCCTGTCATTTTACGCTCAGGTCTTGCAATGCATTCATTGCTCTGTGGGATTAGGGAATAGCTGTAGAGATAAGTAGCTTCCCCTTAGGAAGACCTTTTGGCAGGCTAGTTTCTGTGGCTATAACTCTGAGACGGACGAGCCTAACCGG